CTTAGATTTGCCGCCATGGGCCGCGGCCCATGTGGCCACCCCCTTAATCCGAGGTGGGACTCACCCCGTCTCATCTTTCCGTGTTTTGTGCATTTTCGTCCAGTTCCGATCTGTCAAACCCTAAAGCTGAAACCTGGCCTTTAACTGGCGATGAACACGTGATCTTTATTAACCAATAGGAACCGAGCCATGATTATTATACTGATTGTGAGCTTTTGAAAGCGTGTTCTAAATATTACACTGATCGGTATTAGGTGGGGATGGGGAAGAGGGGTTATCAGGGAATCGGATCACAAATTTTGGAGCCCCCGGGAAAGACGAAACGGAGTTTCCATTCAGGATGATAACGAGAGTGTCATATTCCAATTCCGCCAAATTATAGGAGAGCTGTGCGTTCTCATTTTCTTGAGCTTACGAGCAGCAAAATTCGCAAGCCCCACGATGAAGGGGATAACATGACAATGCGCTTTTGATAGTCGGAATATACGTGTATCCAGAATTGCGACGTCGCACACTGGATCGAGTCAACGAGGAAGGTCGGACATGAAATTTTTTACTAAAACTGCATATTTTGATGTATATTTCGTCACATTTTAAGTATGAAGGGGTGCTCTTAGGAGAATATTTCATGAAAAACCAATGGAACCACTTTTAAAGGCGCGTTCTTTCTTGTACAAACGGAGTTATAAATTTGTGAAGTTTTCAAATTTTGTCCGCCATCTTCCATTGTCTCAATCTATTGTGCGTCGCAGATTTATTAATTCATTACATGTTTTCAAATGAAAACCGGTAAATTTTCTCCCTGAAAATTAGCAACGATTTTTCTCACGCTATTCAAGATTTGGTGAAAATTTAAAACAATTACGTCGTTCATTTTACTGTGAAGAAAACCCCCCGAGCAATTCGAGAGATACCTACACGCGTTTCCACACTCTCAGCATTATATATTGACTTACCTAAAGTAGTATAAGTTCAGTTCCCATTCTTCCCTCCAGCGTCGTAACGTATACATTCAGGCTCCTTTCAAAAGAGTTATCGACGCGTTATCGAGGTTTACAACGCTGTCAGACTTTCAGCCATAATTTATTTTTAGAATGAAAAAAAAGTGCTCAGCCTCATTTCTGATTCTTTTCCCTGTGTGAAGAGTCAGGGCCGGATTAAGAAGGTTGCCACATGGGCCGCGGCCCAAAAGGGCCGGCCCGGTGATACAAAAGACTGCGCACCTTTAATTAGTTGAGTTAAGAGAGAAACCAAACACGTAATTTGGTCTGGAGCGGTGCGGCGCAGAGATATGATGACGAGGACTTGAGATGAAAAGAAGAGGCCCTCGACGCGGCGGTCGGCATGTAACACTTATTAGCGCCTACGAGACTGCATGAATACCTCACGCATTGCGTCAAACACAGTACCGTCAACAGCGGTCGGCGCGGCGCGGCGTGAAACGCACAGTGCCTACAAGACCACATGAATACTTCACGCATTGCGCCATACACGGTGCGGTCTGCGCGGCGGGGCGCGGCGGAAGTTAAAATCATTAAACCACATTTATGTTTGTTCTTTTATGATTTTTTCGTTCATTTCTTATGAATGGAAGGCGTGTCCACAAAGAGATAGGATTAGAAACTTAAATCTCGCGCAAAGTTCCGTAAACTTTTGCTAGTACAGTGTTGACAGGGCTTTCCCAAAAAATGTGTCCAACACGACTAAACGCGTCTCATGCACCCCTTCCCCGCTGGCACCTTCAATTGATGGTTTTTTTGATGTCTCAAAATGAATGAGAAGAGGGCGGCAAAATGCAGGCGGCCCATGGGCGGCAAGTAGGTAAATCCGGCCATGTGAAGAGTATTCTTTGAAAAGTTGGTGCAATAAAGTTAGTTTGTGCTCAATTTTTGAAAAAATGGCGAGAGTGGAGATTTTGGAACACCGCGAGTGATATAGTGATATAGATGGCCAAAGGGCGAAACCACGCATCTCCGCTTGCGACGCCGCAAACTTTCTGTCGTACATTATTTTTTCCTCAGAAAACTAGGTAACGTAATTTCTTGAAAACTTACTTGATGTTTGCCCTCTATTAGCAGAATATTCCGTACAAATTGCAAGCTATAATTTTAATTGGCTTGTTCTTTCTTCTACGAAAATATTAAATAGGAGCGGAGATTTTGAAACACCGCACTTGTTTCGCACTATGGACAATGGACATAGATTCGTAAGTTTTTATAGTTTCACCGCCATTGTGCGTTATGGCATATTAATGCCTGAAAGTCCTCAATTCCATCCGAACCGAGTTGTTTAACAGAGATGAACCAAGTGACCTAAAGATCAAACCGAGAAGAAAACTCTCAAAGGTTTTTTCCCCCTCCATCAGACTCGATACTGGAGATAAATTTTGAGGCCTGTTTCGACTTTGAAAATATTCTCTCGACTCTGCATTTTGAACAGGGGAAGATGTGCAGCTGGCCAAGATCAAAATCCAAAAGTACTGCACTGAAAAAAAATTCTCGTCGTTTTTACCAAGGTCTGTTGGTACCTTTACCATCTCACTTTTTTTTTTACCAATTATTGGTAATTTTACCAAGACAGACTGGTAAGCTTACCTAATAACCGGTATTTTTACTGTTTTATTCAGGTAAGAATACCACTTTTATTGGTAATCAATTCCCGGTAACTTTGCCATAATTCTACCACAGTCGATAAAAAATATTGGCGTTTTTACCAAGGTCCAGTAAAATTACCGAGAAAGTTCAATAATTTTACCGAGATTTCTTGGTAAAATTACCAATTCCATAAATGGTAATTTCACCAAAAAAAACTGGGATCAAATAGAACACTGAATTCTTGGTAATTTTACCCTTTTCTTAGTAAATACACCGAGATTTTTTTTTCAGTGTGCTATCTCATTTTCCCCCGAAATGTGTTTTGGTTCCTCTCAATAAAGTTCAGCCCAACTGGTTGGGAGACGAGAGATTACGCGGCTCAAACGACTGTATTTAAAATCGCCGCGGATGTTCGCCTTGGAGCATCCAGACATTACGAGAAGCTTCATGGAAGTTTCTGCGAGAATTAACGGGGAAAAACTTACGTCAATCCCCCGGTGATTACGGAAATTCTGTTTACGGGTAGGATTCTGGTACATCCACACCAAAACGCGGACAAAAAACACCCGTAAGCCAAGCGGCTCGACCGTGCAATACCTCAACGTTCAATTATTCGAGGCGCTGCGTGGATGCTTCAATATTCCCGAGGCACGGAGAAATTAACCGTTCTGTTTATTTCTACTGGATATGAGTTATTTAATATTTTCCTCAGACTTCACTCTTTATATGACATGCGTCATTGTGTTTGAACTTTATTTTTTTTTTCCTTTGATTAATTAAGTTTTTCAGCCCGGTTTTTTCCCATTTCTTTTTCAACATCCATCACGCAGCATCGAGGCAAATACATCATTATGCATGCGTTTTTTTTGCGTGTGGAAGTAATCACGGATGGCATGCCTCTCGCTTGAACGGATTATTTTTTATCATAGGTGCCGGATCGCGAATGAACGTGTTATCTCTTCATGAATGAAGTTAGCGAACGCACCTAAGGAATGCCTTCCTAAAATGAACGTATTTCTGGCAAACGGCACTATGTGCAGTATGACGTGAGCCCTGTCGTGCATATGTCCTTATGGCTCTCAGGGCTCGTGTCTTAATGTACATAGTTCCGCTTGGCAGAGATACGTCCAAATGAATTGCGATTGAGGTATTCATACAGTTCCCATTCTCATACATGCTGTGCCCTCGCATTTTTTGCTCTGCGAACAAATTTTTTTGTTGCGATTGCAAGCATGCAGGCATCGGTGCAATGCCGATTGACGATTTATTCGTACCAATGGAATGTCATCGATCGCAAAGTTTGGGTGTGCGTTCGATTTCGGATAAATATCATGGTTTATTTATACATACTCTGAAATTTAGGGATAAGGCTTCCTAGATGAGATGGAGTCAGGAAAAATGTGCCTGAAGTTGGCGGAAGAGTTGATTCTGCATCTAGCAGATGACCCTTTGATAATTATTCAAAGTTTTGGGATGGAAATTGGACAATTTGAGGAAATACTGTAAACAATTACCCTCCCCGTCGCCAAATGTTTAAACAGATCGGTTCAAAGTCTCATAGGTACAATTATTAAGAATGCTAATCACGGGCTTGAAATTTTGACTTGAAGTTCTTCGCAGTGCTTTTATTAAAAAAGGCTTAGCTTAGGAAATTTGAAAACTAGATTTTTACTTGAAACTGATTTTTTGCTGTCCTATAAACAGTATGAGTTTCCATCTAAAGGCACATTTTACCTCACTCCATCAGATATATCCTGGCAAGCAGCATTCAGAATTCTTTTTTTAGAGATTATAAAAAGTTTAGCGATGGTGTGATATCGCGATACCGATATCGCTCCATGAGATTTTGTTCACATTATTTTTGAGTTCATGCTTGGGCTAACTAACATCAAACTTGCTCTCATATTACATTTTTGAGCCCTGGCTCTACTTCGCCTGTCGATCCGATTTTTGTAATATAACCCGAATATAACCTGTAGTATTGAAATAGTGTAGTTACTCGAAATGATTTACCCTTCTGCATTGAGAGTTCCCGAGTCGATTGATTGGTTGTTTGACTATGATCTCCGTATGAACTCTGAGCCGATACCTATCTTACCTATAGTAATTATTTCTGTAAACTGGATATGAAACTAGTAATGATGTAATCCAGCTAAAATTCGAATTTTGTTGGGACTTAAAATTGAAGACCTCTAATTGAAATTTGAATATTTGTGATCCAAAAATGTAATTACTAACTACGACATCAATAATTTTATAGTAACAGAGAAAAAGACTGTTCTATGATCATTCGAACATCATAGTGCTTCCCGGAGGATAATTTTCGCTAATTTTCTATTTGTTGTCGTTTGCATGTAGAATACTGCTTTTAAAGAGTTAAAAAATGTGAATAGACAAGTCTATTGATCATGTATATTAATTTATTTTTATTTCTGTTCACTTATAGTTTACCTAATTTACAAATGAATATAAGAGATCAAATTAGTAGGATATTTTTAGAATTCACCCACGCAGGGCTGAGGAGTGTTTCACTACTACAAGTGAAAAAACTGGGAGCATTCGAGTTATTTTACATCTGAGTATTATTTTCTTTTTTACAATTGTCATGGAGGATTCGACCTTCAACAAGGAAAAGTGGAAATGCAGTTTTTCGGACGTATTTGAAATTCGTTTGAGGGCGAAAGATCTATGCCTATAGGACAGGAGAGTAGTTGAGATCGTAGAAAATAAACTTTTGTTTTGTGTATTACAAATTATAATTATTTTTATCAGTCTCTGACATAAACTTATAACTAAATTCTTCAAATAAATAAGAGCGTAGAAGCTAAGGTTATAAGGAGGCAGTCAAAAATCGTAGAGCATCCTTGGTTACGACAGTCAGCCTCATGAATCTCAATTCCACCATCAACATGTTGAGTATTGTGGCAAGCTCGAGTGACGCAGTCGGTACAATCTGAAACAATATAACGCATAAATTTAATTTGTATAAATTCACAAATACTGGACGAGAGGCGTAAATAATTACGCTTGCATGTATGCAGGATGATCGCGAGATGGGGATAAGCTCTCCTTTGGAATTCTGGTCTGTTTCGGTGGATACAAACCGAGCATCTGTGGCGTTAGGAGTTGGACGTGAGTTTGTTTACATGCATCAAGTGTTTCCTGACGGTAAACGTAATTTCAAACGCTGTTTGCGGTTTATGTCGAAGTTGATTTGACGTGACTCCGGCAGATTCCCCGCGGTGTGGCGCGTAGGACGAGGGAGGCATGGAAATCTTGATTGAGCAATAAAAGATAGACTCGGCAAGATCGATCATGCGCGCCTTCTCAGGAGCTGGGAAAATTCCCGAGAAAAGTTTGAGGAGTTGGCGAAAAAACCTTTCTGAGCGCTGGTGTATTTTTGTCAGTTTATTTATTCCGCATTACAGTAAATACGCTTAATACGTGCCCACGGGTGGAATAAAAGGATTTCCTCCCATGAGCTTAAAATTTGCCAGCGTGTTCACTCTGATAGTTTTCCATCCCTAACAACGCACTCATCTGGAGGCTGGTCACGTCACTATCCTCTTTGCTATCGGCAAATTTCGACAAATCCTGAAAGTTCCTGAAAATATTGTTGTCATCAAACTGAGGATCACAGCGGCGCTGTATGACACAGCTTACTGATTGTCAGGAAAGAATATGGTATAACATGTTTGCGTCAAGTCATTATGAATATAAAACTGATATTTTTAATTCTTGTTTTTAAGCTTGTTATCCAACAAGCGCGCATACCGTTTACCTATGATTTTTACCGGTGCTGCAGAATATTTTGCATGGTGACGTAATAATGGGAAAGACGCAACCGCGGTCAGAATATCAAGGGCTATAAATTATCAATGGAGCGCATGCGAAAAAGTGTCAAAATTATGCGGATAACCTGCCGAGCAGGATTCTGCATGGACCTTGCGGCTCATCTTCTACCCGGACTACGCTCGAATTTTTCCTCCTTTTTTCCGACGTACAGAAAAATGTGTGTGGAAATGGGTTTACTGGCTTATGAAGGGTGACAGTGTTCCGTAAAGCCATGACCGAAAAAAAAACCATTGATTCAATACTCGTCTTGATGAAATTGGCACTGAGTTTTCGAATTCATTGCTCGTATTATTAAATGCACGACGAGTGCGTAGATGTGAGTTGGTGTCGGAAAGATCCCGGATTAGTAATACGTCAGTCTTGATCTAAAATTTACAAGCGGATTAACTATTCAATAGCATCTTTTGCCGACTTATTACGATCCGATCCCCTTAAGCAACGAGGATATGGGTTACCTCAAAAGCAGGTTTTGGAACAAAATAGCTGGTGTCAATGATCGATCACCATTGCGTATCCGGGATTCTAAAAGGGCACCTATACCTTTTCTCTCAACATGTAGCATCGAATGTTACATTCATCAAACTAAATTGATTTCATTTTATTTTTTATGACGTTAGCTTGGATTGTGCAAAAACTAAATTATGCATACTACTTGATACAAAAATTGTGTGCATAGCTCAAAAAACAGAAACGGGAACCCAGGAGTTGCCACAGTCAGCATGAGTGGCAGACCAATGAGTCAAGTTCAGACATTAACCTACAAAGAAATATTTTACGGAAAGGTTCAGCAAGGTCAGCCACTTCGCTCCACATTTCTCCGATGATGAAACTATGAACAGTGAAGTATACGCCGTGCATCTATAGACCAGAGAATCCGGCATTATACAATACTTATCTTACTCTTCGATCTACATCCTAGGAAACGCACATTCCGGCGGAAGAACACAATTCTCGGGAATTTTTACCCCGAACCCCCCCCCCCCATCGGAAAATTGTCGGTTACGGCATTGAATACAGGCGCCAGATTTCTCATTAGTCCAGAAGCACGAGGCAAAAAGTGTGCATCGCTGCTAACCCAATCGATTTCGCGCACAATTAAAAACTACGATTAGTTCTAAAATTTGTCGGGATGGGAGGGCTATAGTAGTATACACGCTATAAGTCCGACTTTGAAACCTGGGCTCTCGGATACAAGCTAGGGGTTTTTCCTGTCTTTAATTATGGATGTCCCAAAGTCCAAAGCTAATTTCGACGGTGAAACTCTGAAACGACGTATCTCGTTTAGCGACGTTGCAGACCTCCTGGCATACTTTATTTCTTAAAAAACTAATCAACGTTTATTCTTTAAAATTTCCATGATTTTACTATGTGCGCTAAAAGCAACTTTCGAAAGAGTTCTAAGAAAAGAGCGACTATAGTTAAAAAAGTCTATCAAAAACCACGATCATGGACAGACTGCTGAACTTGACTAAATTAAGCTCAAATTGGATATATTTAAATCAAAATGACCTATCTCCATCGTGTCTTGGGACTTATGAACCTTAAGATCATGCCACGAAGATTAGGGCCCTTGAGACAATGGAGATAGGTCCTTTTGATTTGCGTCTTGCGTCCATGTTGTCGAGTTCCCTGGGCCTGGATTTTGAGATCTCCGGTCGCAGCGGCTGATTATGAGGGGTGGTGGAGGAGAGAGGCAACCCGGAACTCAGTTCATCACTTTAGCTGCCACTCAGAATTAAGCGTTGAGGCTGAAACGCTGAACGCCTCTGCTTTGAACTACGCCCGTGTTAAAAATCGTCCATATAGCCACATTAATGTTTGCACGACCTTACTGCGAGGCGTTTAAAACGAACTAATTCCACCACCGATCTATTCATTGATTTTTTTTGTTACACTTCACTACTTTACCAACATAACTTTTTAATCTTTTAAAACTGAACAAAGATTTTCGTTTTTAGGCGTTTTATTTAAAAGATATCCTGCAGCCTGATTGTTGAAATTTTGTGTTTGTCGAGTAGAGATAGATGACATAGGTTAAAAGGCGCAGCGTGATTGGTCGGCTATGTCTTATCGCTGTTTTGTCGTGCCTATGTCGGGTGAAACTCACGACAGGCTAAAGGCACCTCTTAAGTATCTGACATGTCGTCCATTCCACCTAACAAAGGCACGATTAAGCAGCGATTAAGACTAAGCCGACCAATCACGCTCCGCCTTTTAACCTATGTCGCCTATGTCGACAAACACAACATTTCAATAATCAGGCTATTAGCCTTGGCATGGAGCTGAGAAAATTGGGGAGAGGTACTCTACAGTTTCTCCCTCCGTAATGAGATTTCCATCCGACAGAAAATGTTACCGACGGCTGTGACGTAACGTCAACATGTTTATCCCGACAGAACTGGCTCGACTGGAAACGGTCCCTTTTCCCACTGATGATCACATAATATAGGTAAAATATAAGCATCCACACCGGAGGATGTGCTCAGGCATGGACTATGACGTATGCGGGCTGGCCCGGCGCGGCCGCGGCGTTGCGACGCATTAAACTTGTTTACAAAGTAATTAAACGTGGACACGGGAATGTGAAGCCGGCGGACGGACTCGGAAGCTAGGGAAAACCTCTATGTTCGGAGCACCATGCTGCCATCCTAAGGAAGAACACCGTATCAACATTCCAGAGTTGCCAAATTTCTCCGGATAAAACGTTTATTTTGGAGGAAAATTATGAATATTTTTCTTTGAAATTTTCAGACGTTTCAGAACAAATTATGGACGAAATTATCTGAGAAATCGGCAGGCAAATATGCAAAAATTTTCCTGAAAATTAGTGATTTGCCAGAGGGAATTTGGCAACGCCTGAAGGCTCATACGGCGTTTTTCCTTAGCATGGCGCGGCGTCAATCACCTTGGACTTGGACTTGGCGAGCCAACGACATCAGCCACATTTCGACAGCGACACCACTTCCTCCCGCCTAGGAATGTTGATCTTTTTGTCAGGTGAAGGCACCATCCATCGCCATCGCCGACGACGTCGAGTCTCGAGTGGACCAAGATAAAAATAAGATGGAAGACCGCGTGGCGGCGGGGATCCTGACACGCGATTCTGGTCTATGATGACGTCAGTCGAGAAGAAGCTGCGCACCTGAGATCCGAGAGCGTCACCTCTCAGCAGGTTGTTCACATCCTGACGTCTCGCTGTCCTCTTCGCCGCCCATCCCGTCCGGCAGGTTTTCTAGACCTCGTCATAACAGTAGATTCGGACAAACGCTCGGTTATTTGTAGTCGTTATCTGCGTCAGAGATTTTTTTTTAGCTCGCGATCATTGTGCGGCGAAGTGACCTGCTGACAGGCAAGATGGCTTAGATATTCGCTCCTCTGACGGAAGGGCGTATCTCAATTTGTGCATGAGCCCTAGAAAGCGTGGATTTATACGTAGAACAGGACTCACGTGGAAATTGAGGTACGCCCTTCCACCAAAAGTACGACGAAATTTTCGTCGTTCCTTCACAAAATGTGTGCCTCCAAGAATGACAGTCTATGAGAAAAGTAACGGCATTGGCCCCCGTATACTCTGAATGGAGTTGTGATTACCAGAGCATGAACTTCTAGAAAGAAAGCTTAGTAGAACACTGGAAAAAGACTTCGGCTGTAGAAGAACGTACTTACACGGACTGTATTGACATACCGTCTGCGTTCCGGGCTCAGAGGCCGAAAGTTCCGGGTGTACGATTCGGATAAGTCAAAGCTACAGCAGAACTACTATTCCTAGCTCATTTTAGAAACAATTTTTAAGCGTCATTTGGTTTTCCATGCAGATAAGTGTTTTCATTTTCACGGAGACGGTAGAATTAGTAGATCCCTATTCTGCCGTGCTAAGGAAGAACGCCGTATGAATATTCGAGAGTTACCAAATTTCCTCGAATAAAACACGAATTTGTGAGTAAGGTTTCGCATACATATACTTTTCCTTGAAATTTTCAGATTAAACCACAAACAAAATTGTCTGAAAAAAACATTCAGAATTTTCCCAGTCAATTAGACTCTTATTAAGGGAAATACGGCAAAATCTGAAGGTTCGTAAGACGTTTTCCTCAGCACGGCAGTACACAACATGTGACCCAGTTGTTAGTAGATCCATACTGCCGTCCGAAGGAAAAACGCTGTATAATCATTCGAAAGTTGCCAAATTGCCCCGAATAAAACATATATTTTGGATAAAGACCATGCGTTTTTTTCCTCGAAACTTTCAGACGTTGAAGGTAAAATTGCGAACAAGATGTCCGAAAAAATTAGAGGAAAATATTCACAAATTTCCTAGTAAATTAATTCTTTGTTGAAGGTAATATGGCAACGTTTGAGGGGTCATACAGTGTTTTTCCTTAGCAAAGCAGCATGCTGCCTTGCTAAGGAAGAACGCCGTGTGAACATTCGAGAGTTCCCAAATTTCCTCCGATAAAATTTCAATTTTGAAAGGAAGTTAGGCATGTTTTACCTTGGAATTTTCACATATTTCAGATTAAAATGCGAACAAAATTGTCTGAAAAATTGGGATAAAAATATTCATAACTTGTCCAGTAAATTTGTATTTGATCGAAGGAAACTTGGCAACGTCTGAAAGCTCATACGGCGTTCTTCCATAGCACGGCAGCAGGAATATGTTGATTCATCGCACGGAGAACGTATCCTCAAGATTTTCCGAAGCCCGGGGATAATTGCAGGGATCGAATGCAGAAGAGTCTCGTTCGTTTTCGAGCCGGCGGGGCGGGGCAGCGGGGTTTTAGGAGCTTAAGCGTCGACGTCGGCAAAAAAGCGTGAGACACGGCCCGGGAAGCCGGGTCGGCGGGAATCGTGAGCCGAGTGCAACTTTTTCGAATCGTTTCAATTGGCACTCATTGGGAGCGACAGCGGAGCCTCCATGAATCCAATTCACCTAATTGGTCCGTCCCATTGAGATCTGTTACAGCCAATTTAGCTAAATCACCGGAATATCTCCAATTCAAAGGCCGCCCATGTCTCCACTGTGCATGGATACATTCAACTCCGCCATGCAAATGCGCGACAATGAAACTCGCTTTAATGAACCATCAGCGTTGATCTCCAGACTCTCCGGGAAATTCACATCACACGCGGCTCAGAGATACACTCATTGGTGTCTATATTGGTCTAAATAGTTTATAAAAACATTAATATGTGGAATTAAAGATAGCTTTAGATAAGTTTTTAGATTATTAAGATTATAATTTTATTAATATCCTCAACTATAATTTTATTAACAACGACAAACACGATAATTTAAAAAAAACATAAATATTATAATTGAGTAAAAAATAATATTAATATTATATTAAATTATATCATTGGTGTCGCCAGAAATGTTTCATGGGGGGGGGGTGGACGCAAAAAAATCCCTGAAAATCGTGAAATATTACGTTATTTCTTTCGGAAGAATGTCCAGCCATGCTACCGGGATAGCAAAGGAAGCAGCAAGTGAAATTCTGTATGAGCCATGACCAGCACTTGTTTTTACGTGTCTCGAGGCTCATCCAAGCATGCATTTACTGCTCTCTTCGCTATCACAGCAGCATTGCAGGGTCTAACACCCGACTACGCTATTATGCTGCATTTAGACATGTATGATAATATCTATAAATAGAATTTTCCATTGATTCTATCCTTTACTAATTAGAGAGGTTCTCTGAAGAAGTCTAGAAAAGACGATCAAAATTTCGCCAGGACAAAAAAGTAACAGTGCTTCGCGCTCGTTTTGGAAATGGTAAACATATTTTCGACAGGATACAAAGGTTACGTCCGTAACAAATTAGATACATTATCGTCGTTTAATGTTTCACACGGTAGCGTTTGGATTAGTTAAATACAGGATATCCTGTTAACTTTTTAACAGCGATTCCTACGTTCCTATAAATTTCGATTATGGTATGGCTATCTTTTTTTTTTTTTATCGAAATAGGGTCTAAAATTTGGCAACTTAACTTGGTATTTTCAGCGACGGTTTTGCACCATTCAGCGAGCCTAGATGATGGTCGATCAGAGGTTTTTGAAAGCCCTCACGTACGGACTCGGGAAAATCTCAGCAATTAATGAAATTGCCACTAATCGCCGCGCGATGGAAACAGAGGAAAACTGTCAAGATGCTCAGCTATATCCACCAGGAGTAACTCGCATAACTTTCAAGCTTGGATTAAACGATGAAAAATCATGCTCCTTTTGAATTTGGCCGGGGCCGAATTATCACGTGTTACATGTAGCAATATCCACGTGAATTTTCAGCTACCCTATCACATTCATTAAAGTTTTTAAACCTGACTCTTCCACACTACTTGCTTCATAGCATTTAGACGCATCTCTTCGCGTCCGCTTCTCTCGCAAATGGATGCAAGGATGAAAATCGGGTGTCATTCATTTATACAAAAACGAAAGAAAAAGTAAGATCTATTTACAACCGTGCCTAAACTTTCCAACTTATAGCGACTAGAAGTTTGCTTGTAGAGAAAAATTGTTGAGTTAGATGACCTGCAATTCGTGGTGACACAGTGTTCAGGTTTGTTAATTACAGTAATCGACCCATCAAACTATGTTCAAGGGGCCTTGGAGGACAATAAGGGACACAAGTGCGGTTTTTGAAAAAAAATGAGAAATTAGTGGTTTCAACTAAAACTAGTCTTAACACATACTCCGTGAAAAATTCACAACTTAAATCCAATTTTAAGCCTTAAAATGTGAATTTACACTTATTTTCCGCCATAAGGCTTCACGTAATTTCGAAACTTTAGACACAATTATTTCTCAAAATTTCAAAAACTATACACTTATGCGCCTTGCCCTCCAAGCCCCTTATTTGTAGGTAACAGTAGCCAGTAAAACTGGCTATACTGTTACCTACAAACAAGGTAACAGTTTTCTCCATATATTTCATTACGTTTTAAACAAAACTACGGAAAAAAGTAAAAACTTACCGGTCCGATAATGAAGTTCTGAATCGGCTGCTTTGAATAGTGTGCACCTTCAACATCTGTACGCTCTGTACCGGGTGTACAAAAATTCCATGTAAAGAGTGAGGGGATCCAGTTGATTGAGATTAGCAACCTGAAATCAAACCATCAGTTAAACGTAGTAACATAGTCTTTATGCCTTTGGAAAATCCAAGTAAAACAACTCAAAGGAACCAATGAGGCAATAAGCCTCGTTCTGGTGAGTCTATAATTTATACTTCTTTTTTTATTTTATTTTCTGTTCATTTGATAGGGGTCAGCCCCTCCTCGTCGAGAAAGCACTGTTAGATAATATTGACTCTCAAATTTTGCTGCAATAAATGAAGTTCTCAAGACAGTTTATGAATTTAATGTAAGCTTTAGAGCATGAGAAGTGAACATCGACTTCATACCATCCGCCCAAGTAGAGTACACAAGATGATAAGCATATATTCTCGATTATTTTAGCGAACTGCGGGACCTTTCAAATCTGAGGTCAGGTGATAAGTGCTGATAATTCTTCATTCAGAAATGATATCTTGCATCAGGCGTTTGTAATAATTTTCTTTCTCAAACTCGAGAAACGAGAAAAAAATTCTCAATACTTCACCAAGATGGTTTTGATATTAACACCTTGGATGCAAAATATCTTTAAACTAGAGAAGCATTTTTAAAATATTTTAGTGAATATTTATTAACCAATTTTCAAAATAAATTTATTTTCTTTGTTTGTTCGATTTTAGTGTTTTTCAGGGTGTGTTTTCTAGCACATCCCCCATATAATATTCAGACGGTCTCCGTCGGTGAATTTTAAGTAGATACGATGTTAGAATCACTTTGACTTATGCAATTTTTTGATAGTCTGAATTTTAGTCGTATGAGGGTCGAGTGCGAATTTGGATTTCAGCGCATTTACCGCACCATTAAACGATCATGAATGTAAGAGCTACTTTTACACTGTTTTTCACCAAACTGCTTCATTTTATTTCCCATCGAGAAGAAGCAGATGAACAGAGAGGAGAAAAATGGAAATAGAGAGGAGACGAAGGATAAGAGGATAGTAAGAAGAAATGAGACATATTTAGGAGATACGAGAAGGAGGAAGAAGAGGGGCAAAAAGAAATGACAGAAAAGTGAAATAGTGGTACTATGGTGAAATCGCACGCCTACTCGGAATGCAGACAGAAAATAGCTTCTTACAAAACGGGAAAAGATTACATTTTCGCCATGTCAGTTTTCCTTCAATTCCATTGTAGGCAACACGAGCTCTCACGTGGTCGAATAGTGGTATCGTCGTGAAATCGTGCGATCGCTCCAAAACAATCCAAAAATAGGTTTTATCAAAGTGAGAGAGGCTAGATAAACGCCATGTCAATTCGCCTTCAATTTTCAATGTAGGCAACGCGAGCTCCTTCGTGGTCAAATAGTGGTATCATCCCCCTTGTAATAGTCAAGCGGTCTTTGTCGAGGAATTTTTTGTAGACATGAGTACTTTTATTATGATCGCCTCAACTAATTCATCATTTTACTCATCAGTCAATAAAGTGATCATTTATTTCAATTCTAATCTATGGCAAAGCATCTTCTAAACCCGTGAATTCAATCACAAGCCTCCCGCTAGTCATTCATATATTGACGAATGATAATAGCAGCTCTTTTCAAACTAGTTATGAAGTTAAAAATCGAAATTCATTAGTAAGGAATTATTTACTTGTATCTTTCCTATCTGCTTTTCATAATGGTGAGTAATTTAACACGAAAGAGCAAGCAACAGGAAAAAGTTAGTTAGGACTTAAATTTCTCCGGGTAGACGGTCAGGAGGGAATAGAAAGGCGCTCAGCTCACCCTGCAAAGTTTTCAATGAAAAGGATCGGTGAAAACTTTCCTCCAGTTGAAGAAAGGTTAAGACATCACCGAATGTACAGAAAAGCACAAGGAATCCCGAACTTCCGCAATTCATTTTTTCAGCATGGAGGGAAATTCACCCCGAAACATTTTCAGAGTATGATGGGAGAGGAGTATTGGAGCATTTTTAAAATGACAAAAATCAAATCTATGAATAATAATTAATTCAGAAGTTCTTAAGACTCTTCGACTATACCTCTGATCTCTGGAACTTTTATCGGTAAAGCCAATTTCCGTTCCCCTCCGACTAATGTAATTAGAAGCTCGAAAGCAGTGTAAAAAGTAATTTCAGGAATCAAGCTCGTTTTTGGAGAAGATGCTGTGTTTTTGACCAAAAGTTTATGAATTAAAAAGTGATAGAGCTAATAGATATATATATATAAATAGTGTAAAAAATTGCCGGAAATAGCAGTGATAGAAAATAATTAAAAAAGGAAATAGGCGCGAGGCAAGTGCATTAACTTACCATTGTGTGGAGCAAGAACCGTGGTATTGCGGTGTCAACGTGTTGACCTTGCGGTCAGATCTGGGCCCACAATTTCGGTGTTGGCGATTCCGGCTTACTTCTTCTACATCGTGATCCTGCCCTATCTGCGCTACTTCCATAGACACACATCCGCAATCGTTGGGCTGGTTTTATTGCTCCAGGCTTCATTACTTTTCCGCTTGTAACTGGTGCTCGAAAACAGATCTTCCCGAAACATTTGTTCGATGTGTCCAATGCCCATGAGAATTTGACGTGGAACTTGACCGATTCAATAAAGGCATTTCTACCGCCATATCCAATAGATTATTATGCGTGATAATCGTTCCTTCCGCAATATTCGTTTCAGAAGCCTCCATTTTTTATGACGAAGAAGAAGAATCAGGTATCGATAACCGAATGAATTGATTCTAAACGCAAACGATTCAGTTCCATTTTCTTGACTTTAGGGCACCAAAGTAAGGCATTCGATACGCCCGCAACTTTTTCAGTTTCCATGAACTTACATGTGCTGTGAAACCCTTCAAAAGATTCGCTTGGGGCTCTCCGTTTTGCGTCGGTCGACTAATGTTTGGCGTACTTACGTACTGACATTGATTTAGATGAACTTGGGATAAAAGGGGTTTGAGATCATTTCCCGTGCCATCGAATCAAGTGAGGCATTTTGAGAGCGGGGAAAGCATGCACTCGTCGTGCACGAGACTCTCGTATTCTGAGCTGGAATTCTCACCAAAGAGAGGTCTTTTCAAAGCCTGAATTCGAGCGAAATGCCGTTCCAGTAATCGGATTCGCCCTCTGAAGGAACCACTCTTCTCGAAATGCTCCCATCCGTAAGTCATCGGAATGAATAAGTAAATATTACATACAATAAAACTGAACATTCACTTGCTCGCACACATGCTTTTCTCACTTTTCATTTTGTGCATGTTGGTTTTGGACTTTTTGATGAAGGCACTTTTGAATTTGTCCATTATTTTGTTCTTCTCGTTGTTGTTCAGGTCCGGCAGGAGAAAGCGGTCGATGATCTGTCTGAAAGCAGAGTGCTTTCTGTTCAACGGGTTCGGATACATTTTGATAAGCTCGTTGGTTTACTCGGTGGAAAAACACACAAAGCTTACAGTCACAAGCTCGGTAAATAGAGAATTTTTTTGCAAATTTGACGTCCGAAACGAAGCTACACTGCCCAAAACTGAGGAAACACACAAGTCAGTCACTGAGGCCGGAAAGAACTCCGAACACTGAGTACCGATAAACCGAAGTTTCAAAATCGTCGGGAAACTTAAATCGAAATAATATCGAAAGCTATGATACCACGTGGGAAACTTGTGTACGAATTCAAAGCTAAGCTCTAGTGGATTAGATCTTCCAATGAATTTTCAAGAACGACTGCTGGCGGCTGCGAAAATGCCGGCGGTTTTATACCCGACCGCGCCGCGAATCGTCCGACTCGGCTAATCATGAGCCCTGATCTGCATTTACGCCCGCCCTCCCCGCGTCTCACGGCTCATCCGTTGACTTCTCCTCTCGCGGTTCGCATTTGCATCCGAGCAGTCAACGGCTCATGAAAAAAACCACCGGTTTTCTCCGACCGCCAACGACGCGGCCGCGGCGTCTGGAAAAACAAACATGCGTAAAATTTGCGTCACGACTTCATTCATACCGGTCGCTTCCATTCATTAAATGTCGCCGAGGATTTCCCGGGCTCCCCCAGCTTTCCTGTCGGATATATTTCTGTGAATTTTTTTCCCTTTTCGTCATCGGGACTCGCGCCACGGAAAATCAGGATCCGGTCTTGTTCCATTTCTTGGAATAAGTTAGACGATTTTGGGGTGACGCACGGTGGGGAAACTTCCGTCCACACAGATTTTCCGGTCCAGCAGAGGCGGATCTAGCAATTTGGCAATGCCGGATTTCCTCCATTTAATCCTATGTTAAATAATCGATACTCGTCAAAGCACCTGGCCCCTGGAAGAATCGATACATTTCCATAGGTTTAAAGGATAAAAAAACAATGTTGCCGATTTGCTGGATCCGCTAATGGGCTAATCTGATAATTAAAAATTGATTGACAAAAAAAAAAGGAAAGACGGCACGATCCTATAGGTTGAAACAGGCAGCTTTATCCGCCTCCTCCAACAGGATCGCTCTACTTTCCCTTTTGTCTTCTTTGTATATCAATTTCCATAGTCAGCTCTCAGGGTTTTTTTCTTTTTTTTTTTTTCTTTTACAACCTTTAAATAGCCCCTATTAGCTAATCCCACGCTCACCACCAGCCTCAGGTGACCATTGTCTGAGACCAAGAAGCTCAGGTCACCTGGCCGGGAATCGAACCCGGGACCTCTTGGTCAGGTAACCGAATTTTCAAGTCCCAGGAACCGAACTTTTGTTCAGATAATCGAAGTATCTCGTAAAGGATACGAGTCGAAGAAAAACTAATAAATACTATCACTAAAAATCATAATGGGCCTGTTGCAAACTTTTGCTAGTGCAGAATGAAGAGTTGTTTCCTATAGATGATGCCTCAAAAATCACGATGAGCGCATCGGCAAAGTCTGAGATGCACTCATAAATTCACAATCTGCGTAAGAAATTTGCGTTATTTTGAGCTTCCCGCTTCAAAAACGATACTACTGCACAGGCGAACATTTTGTTAGATGAGTCCTTCCATCGTCGGCAATATTCATCATGGCCGACGCTTGCGCAGTTCTGCGAGTAATTCGAGGAGAGTTCAAGATCAATTAAGGCGGGCGAGGAAAATATAAACGTAAACACGCCGATTGTTATCTGGTTTAATCCTGTTCAGGTGTTATCTCGTTCCATCACACGTGTTTTGGCGGACTGGCGTCGGCCATGATGAGTATTGCCGCCAATGGAGCGACTCCTCTAACAAAATGTTCACCTGTACCGTAGTATCGTTTTCGAAGCGGGAAGCTCAAAAAACCTCAAATTTCTTGGGCAGATTGTGAAGTTATGAGTGCATTTCAGACTTTGCCGATGCGCTCATCGTGATTTTTGAAGCATTATCTGTAAGGAACAACTCTTAGTTTTGCTCTAGCGAAAGTTTGCAACAGGCCCATTGAACACATTAATAACAAAAGGAACTAGATGCATAGGGATTGCGTGCAATATAGTTCCTTTTAGCATAAATACGTCCAATTATGGCTGAGAAACACTTCGGTTACCTAAGCCGAGCCTCAGTTCTCATGAATTAAAAGTGCAGTCCCTGGTAAAAATTTGCAGTAGAATCTGTGTTCCAAAATACCATAGACCTACGGCCGGCTGTAAGATTTCCAATAGCTTCTATAGCCGGCTACACAATTTCTTATAGCCTTTTATAGCCGATGGCGACTAAGCAACTCACAGCCAGGCGATAAAGTGTATGCTAAACGTCACTAATTACGGCTGCTAGGACTTAGTGAGTTTTTGGACCACTGCTCTCTTTTTGGGCCGTAGTATCTTGATTTATTTTGCGAGGAAAGCTCCGTACCTTTGATGGATGCCTGCCATTCCTAATATATTAGAGCGCCTTCAGTCTCGTATGATACTGTGCAATACCTCTGGCTCGTGTGAAATAGTCGCTTCAAGCGCCGTGGCACACTGCGGCGCGGCAGGCGCATACTTCACGCGTTGCGCAATGCGTGAAGTATCCCTGTTAGGTTTGTAGGCGCTAGTGCGTCGCCGCCGTTCCGCTTTGTGTTAGGCTCTAATATTTAATCTGGCGGAGTCAGCTTTTTTCAACTCATAATTTTGAAATTTTTGCACATCCTGTATGGATTATTCTCGTTTTAATTGATGAAAAAAAATATGTATTAAAGGAAAATATAACGTGTGTTTAGTAAATATTAAGGTATGGTTCCGTATCAAACTTAATGATTTCCAAAGCACACAAATTTCTACACAATTTCTTATAGCCTTTTATAATCGATGGCGAAAAAGCAACAGCCAGGCGCTAAAGTGTAAAGCCCGGCGATAGAAACTATAGCCCGGCTGCATAATTTTTTATAGCTTCGTATAGCCCGGCCGTATGATTTTCTTCGCATTCTACAGCCAGCTATATGATTTTCTGTAGCCTTCTTTAGCCGGCTATAAGAATTCCTATCGTATTTTGAAACGCAGCTCTAATCGCCAATTTTTACCAGGGGTTACCTGGACCAGAAACTTTAGTCCTCTGAACACTAAAACTGAAACAGCCCAGCCACAAACACCACATGTGACGGCTCTGAGTTCTCTGCCGTACCAAGGAAAAATGCCGTATGAATATTCGAGAGTTGCCAAATTGTCTTCGATACAATGTTTATTTTTTTTAGGAAAGTTACGAGAATTTTTCCAAGAAATTCCCAAGAACATTAGGTAAAGTTGCGAACAAAATTATCAGATTTTTTTTTTTTTTTATTAAATTAAAATTGTACCACTGCCCCTTGCGGGGCATTAATTACAATTGTTAATATAAGCTTAGAGCTAATCTTATGACTAATGTAACAAGATTTTGTTAATACAGAAAAATTGGAAGAAAAATATCGACAAATTTTCCCGAAAATTCGCGACTTGCCAAAGGATATTTTGCAACGCCTAAAGGTTCGTAAAGGTTTCGTTATTCCTCAGCACGGCGGCAGTGCTGGGGTGGAAGCAACAGCCGGTTAATAAAAGCCCCAGGGGCGCCGGTGCTGGCGCACCCGTAAGCCTGTGACCTCTGACCGACGGGCGTCGCTTTATAGACGGAAAAATCCCGCCGATGGCGATGTGGGGGTGTAGCAAGCGTATTAAACTTGGACGCTGGGGATTCACTGCTTTACCTCAATATATTGAAGACAAACGAACTGTTTTTACAGCATAAATATTTAAAGATATAAATCATAGGAGCTTCCACGGAAAAAAGGATAAATCTTCAGAAGTGCGGTTGTTTGAAGTTTTGAATGCGGATTTCTTATTGCTGTGCCTAGGATATTTGGTAGCATGCCTTGTAGAATAAGGGCGCGCGTGTGATGTGGAGGTTGAATTGAGCGTTTCCGCACAAGTTCCCAATTCAGCCTTACTTCAGATTTCCATTACGTAACGCTCTTAATTTGTTTTTAAAAATTCTTTAATACTCTTACTTACATACTTAAATACTCTATTCTGAAAACAGTTTCGGGCTTGTTTAAGCTATTTCAGGAATTTTTGAGACTCATTAAATAAATTTCAAAGTTACTCCATGTTCCCGCCAAAAAAATTGCCACCATCGCGGTTGTGCGGGTTGTCATGGTTAGAATATAGAAAAAAGAAGTCGAGAAAAAGGTTGTGTGTTCAGTCCTAGAAAAAAGTTTTGTTCCTCCTGAACCCATTTTCCCACATTTTGTCTCATTTATTAAACGACTATCACTTACATCAAAAGTGAGGATTGATTCGTATTTTTCACTCCATACTTGAAAACCATTAACTCGAGCCATTAGCCGCCAGTCTTCATCACATTAGGACAATACACAAAAATATACCGGATAATTCAACGGAAGACAAACACAAGAAAATTAGCAAACGAGACTAAGCTGCATGTACACAATGCTTAGGGAAATTATCGGCGGTGCGGGTCTGAGATTTTGATTGTTTATAATACTAGATCCAGAGAATGGAAAATTGAATTAATTGGTAACATGAAGCATTGCGGCTCACAGATTTTTTAAAGTAGCTGTTTGGCTCAAAAAACGTCCAAAAATGTCATTAAACTAGAGTCTAAAGTTGTTTGAAGGTTGCCGTTCAATAACCATAGTTTTGAGAAACAAAGTTGTTTTAAAGTTTTGATCTGACATTACCGAGGCTTAAAATTGCTGAATCAAAATGGGAATCAAGCCTTTTCATACGCACAAACATTGACTTAACCACCCGCAACTAATCTTTGGACGAGACGTGTTTATTGCTTTGGTCTCTCAGCGAAAACTTAGATTTTCTTTTTTCGATTCAGCTAGACAAAAATCTCTCTCAAAAAGTTCCGTCGTTTACTGAGCTTTTCCCCCTGCGCTACTCACCTAAATTTGATACGCCGTATCTCAACTCGCAAAATTTGGTGATTTTTCACCCGGTAAAAAAGTTTCGGTCCATTTTTTCGAAGGGTATGGATTCGATCGAAAAATGGAAAGGTGAATCGATCGACTTGAAGCAATCGACACCGATTAGATCGACAAAATTCGATCGATTCACGGGCTTGTCGATCGACTCACAGGTTTTTCGATTGACTCACGGCTCTTGTCGATCGATTCACTCGTTTGCCGATCGATTCACGGGTTTGTCGATCGATTCACGTTTTCGTTTTTCGATCGATTCATGTCGATCGAACCTATACCTTCCCGTTTTCTCCCGTGCTAATAATGTGTTTTTTTACACAGTGACCTCATGTGGACACCTTCGGCTTGTCTCTCGCAGGTTCTCCCTATGA